GGGGGGGGGGGGTGGCGGAGGCAGGGAGGACACTGAGCTCGAGCTTGGGCACCCGCTGGGGCTGTGAGCACCCAGGAAGTGAGGGGGTGTTGGCAAAGGAGGTAAAGTGGCCTTGGAAGAAGGTAGTGCAGAGCGTGGGCAGCAGCTTTCCTGGCTAGAGGCAGGGACGGGGGCCCCTTGACCAGGCCAGACTAAGAGCCACCAGGCTTGAGGCAGAGAGGGGCCCTAGCTGTGTGGGTTTCAGGTATATATGGGGCTGTAGAACCCCAGAATCCCAAATGCCATAGCCAGAAGGGATTCTGTGAGGCCAGCCACGGACAGCCAGGGCCAGGTGACACCTTAGTGGCACACAGTCGCATTCTCCTGGCCCTTGGCTCATCTTTCCTGAGTGCCTGCCATGAGTTAAGATGCAGGTTCAGGGTTTAAATCCAGGGCCCTAGACAAGCAGATGAAATACCTAAGGCCCAGACCCATCCAGGAAGGCAAGCTTAGAGGAGGTGCCAAGACCGCAGTCCAGGGACTGAACCCAGAGGCCAACAGGCCCAGGGTTGCTGCCCTCCACTGGGGGCGCATCAGCCCGGGCAGCTCCAAGCTGGGAGTGGACACAAAGGGCACTGGGGTGCTGGAAATGGGGTGATGAACATAGCCCCACACGTCTGTAATGTGAACAGGAACTCAGAGGCTGGGGGGCAGGGCCTGACCTCTGACTGCCCAGCCCCTGGGGGCCCCATCATCCACTCATCATCCACCCCCTACTGGGAGCAGAGCAGCTCCCATGTTGCCCTGCAGAGGACCCTGGGGCAGCCACCAGGCCACCAGAAGGGGACCTGCGCTCCTCCCGGTTCCCTGACTAGCAGTGTGCACACGCAAGCACACACGTGGACATGAGAGCAGAGGCTGCTCCTGGTGGTGTGGTGCAAGGTGCTGGTCACTTCTGGGGTTCCCGGCGTCCCAGGCCTCATGCATGTCCCCCTGCCCACAGCACAACAGACGTGCACACGGTGGCCTCCCTGTTGAAGCTGTACCTGCGGGAGCTCCCCGAGCCTGTGGTCCCCTTCGCCAGGTACGAGGACTTCCTCAGCTGTGCCCAGCTGCTCACCAAGGACGAGGGGGAGGTTAGTGGCTCCTGGGGACCCATCCTGGGAGGCGGGCCTGCCGGCAATTGGATGTATGGACGCAGAGCACAAACTCTGACTTTGAGTGACTTTCGTGGCACATAGATCCTGGCCTACAAACTGCTCTGTAGGATGGGGGCCCTTGAACCTCCTGCTCTGTGAAGGGGGGTGCCCCGAGCACCCTGCTCTGTGATTGTAGGGGGGCCCGGAGCAGGTCTGTGTGTGGGAGGGGGCTCTGGATGGTGCATGTCTGGAGCATCCCATCTGTGTAGGGTCCTCTCTTCGTGCAGGCCTCCGTCTCTGGGAGGGGCAGGTACCTCCTAAAGCAGTCCGAGTTTCAGTCATGGTCCTGGGCCCCCAGTGGGGGCTCCTGCTGCGCGCACACACACACTCACACACACAACCTGAACGTAAGGCCACCCAGGCCAGCCACAGGGTTCAGAAACCACCAGACCTTTCATCTATTTATATCCTGCCTCCTCCCAAAAGAATTTGAGTCTGCTTCCAGGGCTGAGGGCTCCCACGCCTACCCCCAGCCTCTCCCGCAGGTGTCTAAGCCCTAAGCCTGCTTTGGCTGGGGCAGGACTTTATTTGCTCACCCTCTGGCCCTGAGGGAGATGAGGGGTCTTTATCTGGCAAATATTTGTACCTCCGTAGGTGTACTGAGCCCCGGCCCTAACGTTTCTCTTTGGCCCTGCAGAGGCATTACCCTTCACATCAATTCCCCAAAAGTAAATCTGCTTCCCCAAGAGGTCACAAGCCTGGCCTCACTGCTCCTCCGAGGGAGATGGAGGGGGGAGTGCCTTCTGGTCACCTGGGGCTCGGCTGCATGGGCCTTGGCTGGAGGTCTGGACTCTGATTTCTGCCCCCATTCCCAGCCCACCCTCCTCCTCTTTCCCCAGCCCTCCCTCCCTTGAGCAGGAGAAGGGCCTGGGGTCTCAGTGCTGGCCTTTGAAGTGTTGTTTTTCTCTTTCAATCCCAAGGGGACTCTGGAGTTGGCTAAACAAGTGAGCAGCCTTCCCCTGGCCAATTACAACCTGCTCAGATATATCTGCAAGTAAGTGACCAGGGGCAGGGGCTTCAGTGCCCTGCACAGAGGGGGCTGGGTCATTCTCCCACCCAGGTGCTGATGGAGGCAGTGAGGGGTAGAGAAACATAGCCCCTGCACTCACGGAGCTTACAGTCCCTGTGGGAGCAGGTGGTGGTATAGTCTCCCCAGTGAGGGGATGCACCTCTGTCCCTTCACCCTTCTCTGGGTGCCTCTTGCCATCCCCTCCCCCAGGGGTCTGCCTCCTGAGCACAACCGGGGCCCAGGTGCCTGGAGAGGGCGTGCAAGGTAGCCTTCACTTAGCCCCATGCCTGAGGGGTCTGGGCCTTCTTGGGCATCTGCCCCCCCACTCCAGGTGGGAGAGTCGTCCCTCTGGTCCCTGCTTCTGATGGCCCTCCCAGATCCCTGAGAGAGGGAAGCTCTGCCCCCTTCTGAGCTTGGCAGGGGCAGCTGGCCATGCCCAGCAGCTGTGGACACTCGTGGACATGGCTGGGCTTGGGGGCCGGGCAGCTCCCAGCAGATCTGGCATCAGGTTTTGCTTTTCTGCCACCTGCCTCTTCCTTACTGTACAGGTTTCTGGATGAAGTTCAGTCCCACTCAAATGTTAACAAGATGAGTGTCCAGAACCTGGCAACCGTTTTTGGACCTAACATACTCCGGCCACAGCTGGAAGACCCGGTAACCATCATGGAAGGTAACGGTGGAGGCATGCATGGCGGTGCTGGGTGCTACCCGGCCTAGGGCCAGGCCAGTGGAAGGGGGCTCCATTCCTGGGGAACTGGAAGGAGCCTCTAGAACACCTCACCTCCCTCTGACCCCATGGGATCCAGCTATAAAAGGAAAAGGAACTTTGCCCTGCGGATGGGGTCACTGAGTGCAATGGAGAATGACAGGAGGGCCTGGGGGGGTGGGGAAGGGATGGAAGAGGTCAGTGCCCTTGCCCTTGAATACACACAGATGTTTTTGCTTTCCTTAAGTAATTTTTTATTAAGTAGTTGTCACAGGCTCCTGGATGTCAGGATATTATATATATATTATATCAATATTATATATTTATAT